ACGAAAAGCCTTCATTGTAGAGATATATGCAGCAGCTTTGTGAGAAGTGACACTTTAAGGGCTTTGAATATTGTCAGAAAAAAAGTAGGTAGAGAGGCCGGGCGCGGTGGCTCTCGCCTGTAATCCCAGCTCTCTGGAAGGCCCCGGCGGGTGGATTGCTCGAGGTCAGGAGTTCGAAACCAACCTGAGCTGAGCAAGAGCGAGACCTTGTCTCTACTAAATAGGAAGAATTAATTGGCCAACTAATAATAGAGAAAAAATTAGCCGGCATGGTGGCGCATGCCTGTAGTCCAGCTACTCGGGAGGCTGAGGCAGAAGATCACCTAAGCAGGAGTTTGAGGTTGCTGTGAGCGAGGCTGACGCCACGGCACTCACTCTAGCTGGCAACAAAGCGAGACTCTGTCTCAAAAAAAAAAAAAAAATGCGTGTGTGGAGGACAGGAGTATATGGAACTCTGTACTTCCCACTCTTTTGCTGTGAAGCTAAAACTGCTCCAAGAAATAAAATCCGATTTTGGCCGGGTGCGGTGGTTCACGCCTGTAATCCTAGCACCTGTGGGAGGCCGAGGCGGCGGATTGCTCGAGGTCAGGAATTCGAAACCAGCCTGCGCGAGACCCGTCTCTATTAAAAAATAGAAAAAATTAATGACCAAATAAAATATATTACAAAAAATCAGCCGGCAAGGTGGCACATGCCTGTAGTCCCAGCTACTCGGGAGGCTGAGGCAGCAGGATTGCTTGAGCCCAGGAGTTTGAGGTTGCTGTGAGCTGCCTGATGCCACGGCACTCACTCCAGCCTGGGCAACAAAGCGAGACTCTGTCTCAAAAAATAAATTAATCATAAAATAAAATAAAATCTGTGGGTTTTTTTAATGCACTGGAAATTTTCAGCTATTAGGCACTGAGTCCCGTCCACACTGCGGAGCTCCCAGCAGCTGTCTGTCCGACCCTCCGCCTCCACCCCGCAGGCTTCTAGCCCCGCGCCGCAGCCCGGTGGCTCTCCGGATCTTCTCAGGACGCCGCGATTTCCAATCCAGTTTCCCGCCAGCGGCACGGGGCATGGGCCGGAAGTCCAGAGTCCCCGGCGGGGTTGGCTCCCAGCAGTCCCGACACTCACGGTGCCCAGAGGAGTACTCTAGGCTGGCCACGGCCGCGCCAGCTTTTCGGAGGACCCGACCTGCCCTGGTCATTTTGGTTCCTGGACAGCAAAGCCCCTGCCACGTGTGCAGCCCGTCACCGCGCGCCGCCAGCCAGCCAGACCTCTCCTTACCCGGCGTCCCAGGCGCGCTTTTCTCTCTGAGAGACGCGTCCGTCAGGGATTTGAACCCAGCTACCAGACGAGCAATCCGCAGTTGTTCCTTTAGTCAACAGAGCGAGCCACTGCTGTTAGCCCCGCATCTGCAGGACAGCCCAGAGCGAGCCACTGCTGTTAGCCCTGCATCTGCAGGACAGCCCGGCCGCAGTCGCAAAAGTCTAACCTTCCCTGGGGACTCTCCCTTCGGGGAGGAGGTTGGGCCTGGAGTCCCAGATCACAAGCATCACCATTGCCGCTTTCAGCAGTTCGGGTGTGGCGCTTGGCAGTCCAGTGCGAGGAAGGGAAGTTCCCCTAGTGAGGCCGAACCAGGCAGGCCTTTGTCACCCGCGGCTAAGCACTGGTGGTCCTAGTAAAACTAGGGCTCGTCCGGGATTTGAACCCGGGACCTCTCGCACCCTAAGCGAGAATCATACCCCTAGACCAACGAGCCACATCGCGTGGTGCTTCTTTTTCGCCTTTGGTGTGGTCAACCCGGCTCCGCCCTCGCCCTCGCTAGTTTGAATTGCTCCTGGTTTTCTGGACCACAGATTGCCCCCCTTCCCCGGAGTTTTTTGGGAAAAGATTTGATTCTGGTCCCCATAGGAAGGAGGAGCAAGGGGAGCGTCAGCACACCCTAGCGCTCCAAGTCGGAAAGTCCCTGGCCCAGATTTTTTAGTGTCCCGCTCGCTCCTCCGCCGCTGGAGAACTGAGACCACCAGCTCCCGAAGCGCCTGCCGGTCCTCCTTCCGTCCCGCGCTGAGGATTGCCTCAGTGCAGCTAGGAACCGGGCCTGGACTCCTCCCGGGGCCGTCGCGGGCTCCCGTTGCTTTGGGAGCCGCAGCCTCCTCCCACGCCACACACTGGAGGGAGGCACCAGGCCGTCCCCTCTGAGCCCTGCCCAGCACCGCTGCCTCAGGACCTGGGGCCTCCACCTCCAAGGCTACTGAGCCCTGGACCCCAGCAGGAGGAGGGGCCCTGCGCGCCCCTGCAGCTCCCCCCTTGGGCCCAGGGACCCACCTTCCGGAGCCCTAGCCTGGAAGCAAGCGCAGGTAGCAGTCGGATGGGGCTAGGGCAGGAGAGGGAGATAAAGAAGGAGCTAAAGGATGGGGAGCGTGTTGAGGAAATTCTCAGAGTCATCCTGAGAAACACCTCTGTCCACTGAGCACGCTGGACCCCTGGCCCCAGTGCCCAGGCCAGATCTGGCCATTCAGGTTCAGCTCGGATCTGGTCCACTGCACACTGGGCCTGTCTCCGATCCAAACCCAAAGGCCCAGACCCCATCCCAGGTCTGCTGGGGGCTCCACCTATGCCCGAAAGTGACCACAAAAAGCAAACTGTGGTTCCTCTAGGATTTAAGCTGAAGAGAGAATAAGGTCTCCTCCCAGGAACCTTTCTCCATGGAGTGGCATTTGTCCTCTTTCCATTCTGTGGACCATGAATGGTGGCTGGCCTGATGCCAAAGTGCTGAGTGGGCCAGGGTAGGCCTGAGGGACAAACACCACTGACTCCTAAGGGGACTTCAAGGAGGAACTATTCCACTGGTGGAGCCCACAGACGTTTCCCTTTAAGAAACAGGAGTCTTGGCTGGGAGCGGTGGCTCACGCCTGTAATCCTAGCACTCTAGGAGGCCAGGGCAGGCGGATTGCTAGAGGTCAGGAGTTCGAAACCAGCCTGAGCAAGAGTGAGACCCCCAACTAATATATATAGAAAAAAATTAGCCGGGCATGGCGGCACATGCCTGTAGTCCCAGCTACTCCGGAGGCTGAGGCAGGAGGATTGCTTGAGCCCAGGAGTTTGAGGTTGCTATAAGTTAGGCTGACGCCATGGCACTCACTCTACCCTGTGCAACAAAGTGAGACTGTCTCAAAAAAAAAAACAAAAAAACAGGAGTCTTAAATGTTCTGGCCACAGAAGAACAAAGCAACTGCTGTGGTGGCAGGTTACCTGGGCCACAGGGTCAGGAGAGGCCTCTCCAAGCAACCTAGTGCCCCCTCCCCGCCCCCCACAGTTCTATGCAAGAGACCCAGCTCCATTTGTAGGGGCTCAAGAGTCAGGAGGCATGAAAAGGGCATTCAGCACACATGGCCCCAGGCTTGAGAAGAGGAACTCAGGCCAGTTTAGGTCAGAGAGGAGGCCCTGCTGCTCTGGATCCTCATATGCCCAGGAGCTCTGGCCCCACCCTCAGCTCACCTGGTGGGGGCAGTGATCTTGGGGTTGGTGTGACTCTGGGGTTCAGATCCAGTAACACTTCCTAGCTTGGGAGGCCCCACAATTTCCACTAAAGCCCTCAGTCCCTGCCTGTTTTAACCATTTCTTTTATTTTCTATATACTGATGCTTTGCTATCTGAGACATTACTGACCTTGGAGGGACTGTCCCTCCCAGAGTTAACCAATTCCTAAAGATAGTAAACGACTCCTCCAAGATGGTACATTTCAAATGCAAACCAACCAGTCCAGAGCCCACAGCCCCCACCCACCTCCTTTATCCAGCTCACACGCCAGGCAACACTACCTGCCCTGCTCACCCCAGGGCCCAGTACCAAACAACCGGTCCTAAACGTGCTTACGCTGCCTCTTCTGTTCCCACTATGAAACCCACAATACAAGCACTTGCCTACTCACTCACACACACGCACACATACACACACACAGACCCTGGTGCTTCCCCATGTGACCACCCACGCGTGGCATGCTCCCTCCTCCTGAAAACTGTGAGTGACAAACTATCTTCTCGATGGCAGTCTTCTCCTGATCTGGTGGCCCTGCCATAGCGTAATAATAAAACCTATTAAAACGCTACTGTTGAGGTGCCTCACGCCTGTAATCCTAGCACTCTGGAAGGCCGAGGCAGGCGGATTGCTCGAGGTCAGGAGTTCAAAACCAGCCTGAGCAAGAGCATAAACCCCGTCTCTACTATAAATAAAAAGAAATTAATTGGCCAACTAATATATATAGAAAAAATCATCCGGGCATGGTGGCGCATGCCTGTAGTCCCAGCTACTCGTGAGGCTGAGGCAGTAGGATTGCTTGAGCCCGGGAGTTTGAGGTTGCTGTGAACTAGGCTGATGCCACGGCACTCACTCTAGCCTGGGCAACAAAGTGACACTCTGTCTCAAAAAAAACCAAAAAAAAAACCGCTACTGTTCTTCCAGCGTGGAGAAGTGACCAGTGCTTGGAGCGCAGTCCCCTGGACGTTCATGGTGACACCACGCCCTTCGTGGCCAGCACCGAGGTGTAGACCCTCGCAGTCTTCAGGACCCGCTTTGTCTTCCCTTCCCTTGCTCGTGGAAGGCGCCCCTGACAGCCCCTCAAGAAGGAAAAAAAAAACGTCTGAAAACCTGGGCTTTTCCACAATTTGAACGTACGACCTTTCACACCCAAAAGAAAACCACACGTCCAAAGTTCCATCGTCACCGCGGACCCTGCGGTAGCCTGGCGCGCGGCACAGACCGGACCTCTCGTCCGCGGAGACGGGCGTGGCGCGGGAGGGGTTCGCCCTCCTCTCGGGTCCGGGTCCCCGGGGTCCGACGCCCGGTTGTCCGGGTCCGTCGCCCCGGCGCCAGGCCTCGGGCGCACCCAGGACTCTGCAGGGGGAGCCTCAGGCCAGCAGGCGCCCCCGGCCTGCGTGCGTCGGGTTCGGGCCAGCCAAGACTCCGCCAGGCTCCGCAGCCCTCCCCATCAGAGAACCAGGGTGTCCGAACAAAGCGGGCTCGTCCGGGGTTCGGACCCGGGGCCTCTCGCACGCAAAGTGAGGATCATACCCCTAGACCAACGAGCCGCCGTGGGGACCCTCTGACGTGTGTCCCCATGCGGAAGGGCCTGTGACACGAGTCCTCGGAGATCTGCACGCTGCCTCGGGCCACCCGAGGTGCGCGCGGGGTCGGGGGAGGTTTCGGTTTCGCCTCGGGGGAGCCGAGCCCGGTGCGGGCCCCGCAGGGAGCTCCCGCACGCCCCCGCCCCAGACCCGCAGAGTCAGACCCCCACCCCAGCCCCCCAGCCCGGAAACGCCAGCTGCCAGGGGAGGGCCGGGGACAGGGGCTGCAGCCCGAGGGAGGAAGAGTCTGTGTGCCTGAGTGAGCGCGGGGCCCCTCCTGGCGGACCCCAGCCCAGAAAGTTCGCCCTATATGGGACCCAGGTCCAGGACCTGAGAACGAGGCTCGGCCGCCGCCCAGCTGGCCCGGCGGGCCTGGCGCAGCCCAGGTAGGGATCCAGGGTCCCCCGTCCTCAGCCAAGCCCGGCCTTGGCCTCAGTTCGGCTCAGAAGTCCCTCGCAGCTCCGGGACCCCCGATAACAGGGGTCAGAGCTGCGCTCAGAGTTAACTTCTTCCCCAACGGGCGTCTGTACGGACGCCCCAAACGTTTCTTCCCTGTCCCGCTGGCCAGGGATCCGGTATCTTAGGACGCTGGGAAGGGGGACGTTGCCGCCCGCCCTAAAGGGGGAGGATGAGAGTTTGAAATGAGGGGTCGTCGGTGATTCGACCCCGAAGCCTCACGCTCTAATCCCGGACCACACCAAATGACATTCATCCCCATGTTCTTGGGACTCCCCGCTCCCGGGAGCTTCAGGGGTCACACATCCCCACCGACCGACAGCAGACGGGGCGGGGGACCCGCGAACTCAGGCCTGCAGTAACCAGATGCAGCGCGTCTACGATCCAGGACCTATTCCCACCAATTTTAGGACAGCAAAGTCCTGGACAACTTCCACTACCTGTGCGTGAGCACCTAGCTGCAACTGCCCGGCTAGCTCAGTCGGTAGAGCATGAGACTCTTAATCTCAGGGTCGTGGGTTCGAGCCCCACGTTGGGCGCTGGTTTTAAAACCCAGACCACTAAGCGGCTTGCAAATACACAAAACTTGGAAAATACGGTAGAATGGACCAACAAAAAAACTAAAAAGGGGAAAAAATTGAAACAATTTATAAAAAGTAGGTAAAAGGAAAGTAAAGATTGCTCATGGTTAGGAAGGCTGACACACAACACAACTCGGCAGCCTCGAGTTTTGCCTCATAAATGTTACCTGTGTGTGAAATTTACGTAAATGTTCCGTAAACGTACAGAGAGCATTTGGGATCCTCTCTGCAGAATACTTGTCCTGAGAGGGGTTCCTCTTCTAGAGACTTCCTTGAAATTCCCGCGCGCGACCGGGGCGGTGGCTATGGAGGCCGAGTCAAGCAACGTCGCCCCACCGAGGGCTGCAATCCACCACGTAGGAAGAGTCTCAGCTCTGCCGCCTGGGCAAAGGGCAAGGGACGACTGGAAGTGGATTTCCTGCTCCGGAGTAGGGACCCACGTGGGCCCCCCACCTGGATTCGGGGGTGCCCCAGCCCTCCACACCACGACTCTCGGTTCCCCCAGCACTGTCCCCATCCCTCCCTACTTTCTAAAGTAGAAAGAGAATTGTTGATCATGGACTTCTGGCCAGCTCGATGTCTGTTAGGCCTTGTTTGCCAAGAGGAGTCCCTAGAGGAAGAAGGGACTTGCTACTTCCTGTTTGTTTTTTGTTTCTGCAGCCTCCCCCAGCCTCCCTTTTCTATGCAGGCAGCAACAGTTCATTCCAGAAATCGCAGATGAATCCACTCTGAAGTTTGTCCATCACCCACAGAACCAGCCCTGTCCCCAGCCCTGTCAGTGGTAGCTGCTCTCTGCCTTTTCAACTGCCTTGGTAACAATTCTTTGTACTTATTAATAATTTTCATATTAAAAATTCAATTAAAATAGCTGACTGCTGGTTGGACCCTGGTTTGGTTACAGATTTGGGCTTGAATGCAGCACTGAGCTCCTTGCCAAGGGAACATGAGATGCTAGGCAAGCAAGGGCATCAAGATGGAGCAGTGCACGGCCAGGTGGGTTATGATGAAGTGTGGAATGAAGCCGACTGGCCCTGGGGACCAGTGGCTGCTGCATTTGACTGTTGCAGTGCAGATGACTGCATGGACTGTCATCAGCCCATGGCATGGAAAGGATTCTTCTGAAGACACTTGTTTGCTTACAGAAAGAAATTGACAAGGTCGAGCCTTTACGTTTTCAGCCTAAGTCATGTCCAGAGACCCAGGGACATTTTGTGGCAATCATAAAATAATCTTATAGCCACAGGGCTACTATTGCTAAAAATCAAACACATAATTTAATTATGCATGTCGTGGAATGTCAGTGTAAATTGAATTCACAGCCTCAGGAAATATTTCATGTGCAAGATAAAGCATTGATTAGGAAGAAGTGAGAGAAAAGCTTGAGGACATCAGGGTGAACTCAGACAAAGTTGAGAATCTTGAAGCAGAGTCACTTTCAGCCTCTCTTGCCATCAAAAGCAGCCTGTGGGGCCGGGGCGCGTGCAAGCCTGTATCCTAGCTCTCTGGTATGGCCTGAGCCCTGGCGGATCCTTCTGAGCTCAGGAGTTTGAAGACTCAACCTAAGCAAGAGGTGAGACCCCCGTCTGCTACCATAAATAGGAAGAAATAATTGGCGCAACAAATATAGAAAAAATTAGCCTGGCATAGTCCGAGCTACTCGGGAAGCTGAGGCCCAGAAGGATCGGCTTGAAGCCCCCAGGAGTTTTAGTTGCTGTGAGCTAGGCTGACACCCACGGCACTCACGGTCTAGCCTGGCAACAAAGTGATCTCTGTCTCAAAAAAAAAAAAAAACCAGCCTGTAGGGCTGTCGATGGTAGTGGTAATCAAGAGAATTATACATTATGTCGATAAAGTTGGTATACAACCTATGCTAAAATGACTGAAGAGAATAAAGAGAGAGAGAAGGAAGAAAGAATAGAAGGAAGAAGGACATGAAGGAAGAAGGGAAGAAGGTAGGAGAAAGGAAGTGATGAAAAGAAGAAAGAAAGAGAAAAAGAAGGAAAGAAAGAAAGCGCATCCTCTGGTATCTGCAGAAATTAGCCCATAATCTCACCTGGAGCAGTTATCTTGCAAGAGGATGCTAGCTCTCCTCAAAACCTAAACCCACCACCCCTTGTTAGCACTTGACCTATAACTAGAGTCAGACCTCAGCATGCTGCAGGAAGCAGGTACAAAGGCAAAGGCTGACCTTGGAGGAAGCAGCTTATACTGAAATAATAATAATAATAAGTTTTGATACTTTATGCTGGGAGAAACCTGGGGGATACGTGTGGGAGTGGGGTTATGATGTTAGAGTAAGGAGAATGGGATATGATTTGTGTATCTGCTGAATTTATCAATCTGGGTGCACTTTCCAAAAAGCCTGTGTTTGATATGTTTTCTCGTGCAGGCGAACATGGCCCTACCATGTTTCTGGGTTGATTGGCTGAAAACTGAACTCATTGGTGGCCTAAGATGAATGAGATACCAGAACGTCCCTCGCATCATGTAGAGAAAGGAACCCAAAGATTTTGAGCACTAGAAATGTCAGAGTGGGTCTATCATGTATGATGTGCAAACCCACCACCCCACTGAGAAGGCCCAGATGACATGCCCTTTACTAAGGCATCCAGAAAAAATTGGCCAGGGCAGCGCCAGCATCCTTACATAGCTCTGCGGTGACCATGCTCTGCAGGGGCGTATGAACGTGGAATATAGATAATGCCATTGAGATGAGGGCCCTTACTGCAGTGGGGATGATGGAGTCCAGGATGTTTGGGGAAGTGGGAGAAGCCAGGCCACGGCTGGAAAAACAGGAGAGTCTCATTCATGGGTTTTAAAGGCAAAGGAAAACTATGTTTTTTGTATAAAGGACAAACTCCAGCGGTGGTCCCCTAGGGGGCATATGGAATGGGAAGCTTCTGGTTTTACTTTGTATCATGTCCTGTAGTTTGGGAAATTTTTTACCTCGAAGATGAAGTCATGTATTGCATGGATTTTTTAAAAAAGAATACCATGGACTATTTCAAAAGTGCATTAAACCAGAAAAAATAATATAATGTGCCCTCATGTCCCCCCGTTACACCACATCTACTCCTGAATGAGTTTGGACCTTTACATCCATGCAGCCCATTGATTTTAAAGCAACCAGTTGTCCTGTAATTTAATCTCTAAATAATTGTGTGTGCTTATAAAAAGTAAGAATTTTCTAAAAAATGTGTATACCCACCAATACAATTAACACACATAGAAAGGTAAACAATTATTCCTTTATATGAAGTAGAATAGATGCTTCCTAAAATAGTGTGAAAAGTTCAAGCACCGTTTTTTGAAAGTTGAAAAGGTGCACGCCTCTTCTGAGGATAATCCTTGACTTCTAATCACAGTTGTGTTCAGAAACCCTCCTGGGTTCCTTAACTGGCTTGTTTCTAAATCTCCTCTGTAGGGTGGACTACTATGAGCCTAAAACACTACTCTTCTTACCCCGGGTGGGACTCGAACCCACAATCCCTGGCTTAGGAGGCCAATGCCTTATCCATTAGGCCACCGGGGCTGACAGGCGTTATTGCTTGCTGGACTTAGCTTAGTCTCTCAGTCACCTCCTCGATGTTCCTGCACACCCTACGGTCCCATCCTAGCCTGTATCTAGACACTGAGCTTCAGTTTTTGTCTGCGCTCCAGCTGGTACTTGGATCTCGCCCTCTGCTGAGCATCCTCTCTCCCGGAGAGACCGCGCACGTGCAGACGGTGCTGAAAGGCATTGAAAGTCAGCTTTTAGCTCGGCTGGGTGGCCTAGGGGTACCAGCTTCGCTTAGGGCACGAGAGGTCCCCGGATCAAACCCCCGAGTAGCCCGGTACTGTAGCTCACCTCCAGGAGAGAACCCAGGTGCTGTAGGGATAGCTGGAAAGGGGCGCGGTGTGCGCTCTCTGTGATGGCCAGTTCCCCATCCGGAAAGCCACCTGCTTGGGCTAGTGGACTGTCAGCCCTCGTCCTCCTTCCCATTGTCCCCTGGAACAAGACACTGCCGGGTAGCCTGAGGTCTCTTACTTAATAATGGCCCTCCAGATCTGTTCTGTACATCCCAGGCTAGCTCACTGTTAGTCTCAAAAACGTTAAAGAACACTCCGCACGACCCCAGGTCACCAGCGCCCGCGGACTGGGATGCCCAGGTGCGACTTCCCGCAGCACTTACCCCACCTGCGCCTCACGCTCAGCGCGACGCTGCTCGGCCGCACCTGGATTTTGCCGCTTGACCGCATCTCCTTGGAGAGAACTCGGGTTCAGCAGATAGAGACATTTTTTCCGGGTGAAATGTTAACTAAATCCTGGACATAATCTTTCTATTTAAAATTTTAAATATGCATTTAACTACTCATTCAAAGGAACTCTCTCACTGCAAGAAATCTATTAGGTTTTGTTTTACATTTTAAACGATGGATATATATTTTGCATACATAACATATATGCAACGTTTGCCATTTTAACCATTTTCAAGCGTACAATTCAGTGGCATTAATTGCATTCACAATAGTGTGCAGTCATTACCACTATTTACAAAATTCTTCATCACAATAATCTAGTGGATTTTGAAATGCATATGTCCTTTGATACCCCCTTGGGGCAACTGCCCAGTGCAAGCAACCCCAACCCCGCGTCTGTCACAGTTTTCACCTTCTGAACCCTACTTCGCGTGGCCAATCCCCTATGGGTTCCCGGAACTGGTGGTCTCTGGCCTCGGGGTCCGCAGTCAGCCAGTGTGCGGCCAGCGTAGTGACCCTGCAGTGCCCTCGGGGTCGCCCCCGCTGCAAAACTGGCCCTGGGTCCCGATCTGTGCGATTGCAGGAGAGGGTAGGCATCGGCGGAGCCCCAGGGTGGTGCGGGGCTTGAGGCTGGAGCAGCCGAAGTGTCCTAGGTCTATACAGGGAGTCAGTGCTGATAGAAGAAAAATTTTAAATGGGGTTCAGGAAAAAAAAAACCAAGCCCAGCAGCGACCACGAAGGGACTCGAACCCCCAATCTTCTGATCCGGAATCAGACGCCTTATCCATTAGGCCACGCGGCCCCGCGCGTGTAGGCTCTGCAGCTCTCCCTATAAAGCCTTTCAGGCGACTGCGCAGTATGCCCTGGTATACACGTTTAGGACGAAGCGGAGCCCGGCCCCTCCGGAAGCCGTGAGGGCGGAGTTCAAAACTGGTCCTCCGCGCCCCGCAGTGCTGGGGCACCTCGCAGGAAATCGCCGCTGCGAGCCGGCGGCTGCGAGTTCGAGCCCTGGCGAGCCCGTCCGCAGCAGGCCCCTCTCGCGTCCTCTTCCTGCGCTTGCCGCCCGCGCGTCTCGGGCCTCGGGCTGCCCACGGCGCCCCCAGCCGCTGTGCTCGCCCCGTGCCTTCCCCGGTCTGCTGCAGAGGCGTTCGGCCCCACCCTGGCTCTTAGCTCCGCGCCTCCGCGTTTCCACGGCCCGTCGCGGGGTGGGGCGGCGCGGCCCGCGTGCACAGGGACACCGCTGGGAGGGGAGTGTGGCCTCTGGGCCGCCCCTTCCCGGAACCCCTTTCCCCCGGGGTCGCTCCCAGCAACTCCAACCTAGCCCAGCTCGTGATGGGTTCCGCAGTCCCGGGCGCTGGCCTCCGGACCCACCCTGGGCCGGGGCTCCCTGGCCGTCTGGCCTTGGTTCCCAGGGGCACAGGTGCGCCCTTAGGAAGTGCCAGGTACTTTGCATACACCATCTCCCCTTTTTCCCACGTCCCCGAGAGCAGGCCCTGTTCCCGAGCACAGCATCAACACATGTTTATTGCCTGCCAGCTAGCGCCGGCCCCGTGCTGCCAGCCCCCATTTACAGAAGAGCAGACAGAGTGGACCGGGTGGATGGCGGCGCTGGGGTTTGGCCGCCCTCTCAGCACGCTCCGGTGGCTGTGGAGCCCTCACGCCTGCAGGCAGAGCCGGCGCCTGAGGGAGCTGCGGATCTCCAGGCAGGCCTTGCGGAGCTCGTTGCAGTCAGGGCCCAGCACGTCCTGCTCACACACCCGCCTGTTGACCTGAGAGGACCACACCCAGCCTGTGCCCAGGGCTCCGGGCCCTGTGAGGCTCGGGCTCGCACCCCCCTGGCCGGGTGCATCGTAAAGCCTAAAATTTCAAGGGCTGCCTTGACTTCTTTGAGCCTCTCAGGGCACCAAAGGCCTAAGGCTGAGTCCCCCTCCCTCACCAGACCTGCCCCCACCCAGGGGGACAGGCGCCCACCCTAGAGTTCCCCTATCAGCCAAGCCAGCTGCTCCCCGCCTGCTCCTCAACCTAACCTGCTTCGGTTATTCGGTTATTCCCTGCCAGCCCTTCGGGAATATCCAAACAAACCCATTACATCCCCCTGCAGGAACAGGGGCATCCACGTGTTTCCCACCAGCCCTGCTAGTTGACTCGGCTCTGTGTACCCCCCACTATGTGGCCCTGCATAACCTGCGGTACCTTCCCCCACCCTGGACTTTAGAATATGTGACCAATAACTGCTGTGGATCGCATCTGTCCAGTATCCTGTCTTTGGTCATCTCCCACTATTGAAGGCGGGGATCCCTCCTTCACTGGCAGAGCTAATGGGCACCAGGGCTGGGGAAAAGGACAACTCTTGCCCCTCTGCCCTGTCACCCTCCTTCCCCCAACACACCTCAGTCAGCAGCTCCAGGAGGTCTCCTCCAGGCTTGGCTCTGAGGACCTCCACCAGGGTCTGGATAAAGTCTGAGCCCTTGTCATCCCGATAGGCCACATAGCCTAAGTCAGGGGACCAGGGCCAGAGTGTCAGACTCAGGCCCTGACCCTCTGCCTCCCTATCCCCAGGGGCCTACTGTGCTGGACATGGGGGCAGCAAGCAGGCAGGACCTCAGGGAGCAGGCAAGAGAACAGGGCAGGGAGCAGCGACTTCTTGCATCTGAAACATGCTGTTGCTAGATATTTGCAGAGTGAATAGAAGGTTAGATTCACTACTGAACAATATTGACTGTGGACCTACTATGTGCCAGGCATGGAGCAGGGCCTTGGGGCAAATAGATCGGCCCTGCCCTTATGAAACTTACAGCCTGGGGGGAACAGCACACATGAAGCACTTGGCACAGCGGGCACTGAATGGTGCCTCGTTACTATGACACTAAACAAACCATGGAAGGAAGGTGGCTTCACTCCAGCTGGGCTGGTACCTCTGTACCCTGACACTAAGCCCTAGTCGCCCTGCATGCCACTCCAGATTTTAGGCCAGGAAGCTGGGCCCTGTGTAATCATGGGCTTCCTGATGACCCATCTTCTTACCCTCAGCGGCTGCATAGACCGTCAGGATGTCTGCTTGGTCAGAGCTGCCTGGCAGGGAGCCCTTGGAGGCGCTGCCTGTGAGAAGAACCATGTGCATTCACCAGCTTTCCGGGACTCCACCAGCCCCAGGGGCTCCACATCTCTGGCTTAAGGCACAGGGCAGTGGAAAGAGTGCAGGGCATGAAAGACAGATGCAAGTTCCGACCTCAGCCCCGCCACTTACCAGCCATGTGACCTCAGAAAAGCTATTGCACCTTGCTGACTCCAGGGTTGTCACAAGGCTCAAACAGGGGAAGAGGCTCCCACTTCTGAAAGGCCCTTGCAGTGTAGGAAGACTTTACTTCCCATTGTCTTTGCAAAGGGAGGACAGAGGTGGCAGCAGGGCCCCAGTTAAGAGCCCTAGAAATGCTCTTGGGATAGTTCCCATCACCAGCCCTGCCCACACCCAGGCTCTGGAAGGAAGGCAGAACCCACCCTGGGCGTCGGCGTAGATCTGGAGGACATCTGCGTGGGAAGGGATGGCGGGAGGTGCCCGCAGCCAGCGCCAGTACCAGGGGAGAGCAGTGGGACCCGCTCCAGCGTCCTTGTTCCCTGGGGAAGGAGAGAGGCAGACATCTTCGCTCGGGGATACCAAGGGATGCCTCCAAGTGTCCAGACCCTGTTTGAATGGTTGGGTCAGACAAGAGCCCAGGCCCCAGAGCTCCAGAGCAGGCCTGCCAGGCCAGGAACATTCAGAGCACTGAATGGCAAGTGCTGAGGGTTAAAGGCTCAAGTTCGTGGACTTGACCTCTAAGAAGAGGGGAGAAGGGATTCAGAGCACTGAATGACAAGTGCTGAGGGTTAAAGGCTCAAGTTCGTGGACTTGACCTCTGAGAAGATGGGAGAAGTGATGGGGAAAGGTGAGCAACCAGGCTCCCTGCAGGAGGTAGACAGCAAGTCCTAGGAGGCTGCGGGCTGGCTGAGGCTTGGGCCGGAGGAGCGGGCTGGGGTGCCGCTCACCCCCACGGCAGGCCTGCAGCAGGAAGATCTTGGGGCAGCCCCGCAGCACCCGGCAGTGGCTCAGCTCCTGCTTCAGCACCTCTGGTTGCACCTCTTGCCCGTCAGCCCCTATCAGCTGTCCCCGCGGCCCCCCATGGGCCATCAGAGCCACAAGGGCACAGCTCACAGGGCCACTGCGGGTGTCCAGTCGCTCCCGAAACTGGGCCAGCTCCTCCTGGAAAGCCTGGGGTGGGGACGAGGTTGAGGCCTGGGCCAAGGCCACCGCCTTCCCAGCCCCTGGCTGTCCTCTGCAGGGCGATGAAGATTCCCCAGCCCCTGCCCTCCGACCTCCGACCTCCTGCCAGTGGCAGGCCCAGGGAGGAAGTTCTTTTCTAACCCCTGCCGCAAGGCCTGGCATGGCCCCATTGGAGGTGACATGGTCCAGCTTCCTGGAGGGAAGGGGGGCTGGAGGGTGTCCAGGAAGGGAACCAAGGCCTCGGAGGCAAAGCTCTGAGCTGGGGACAGAGAAGCAGCCAGCATGGGAGGCCGCACAGTGAGCTTCCAGAGCAGGAAAGTGGCTGCCCAATGCATGCAGCAGGGGGGATAGGGGCTAGACTTGCAGGTGCACTTCCTGCTGGTGATGGAGAGAGGCCCAGGAGAGTCCCCCGGAGCCCTTCCTTCAGGGCACCAGCAGAAATTCTGGGCTTCTCTTCACCTGGGCTGTAGGGTCTGTCCTCAGGGTGGTCTCGAAGCCCAGGGCCTGGCAAAACCCCCTCAGTGCCTCCACGTCGTGCTGGGCCCCAGGCCGGCCCCGGATCACAGCCAGGAGGAGGGCGGCCCTGGCCCTGGACAGGTCATAGTGAGTGTTGGGGCCAGGAACTGGCTACAGAAAGGGTTAAGGCATATGCATATTCAAAGTGGTCTGAGGGGACTCCCGCCCCTCACCTCCCTGCCTGAGTCTCCATTAGCCTCTGTCCCACTGGAAGCCAGTGGCCACATGTTTGGAACCCACCCCAGCCCCTCACCTCAGGCATCCAGGGCTCCACGCCTCCCAGGCACAGTGTCCCCCGCAAGGAGCTCCGGAGGATGGGGCAGTAGGTGCCCTCTGTGGACTCTACAGCCACCCTGCAGAAGAGCTGGGAGGGCGGGGCCCGCGGTCACCTTAGTGGGCTGCTCCCTGGAGGAGCAGAGAGGGGTGCAACCCAGGCCGTCTTTCCTGGCATCTGGTGAAAGACTCTGCAAGGCTCATGGCTACTAAGTGTCTTCAGGGTCACTGCCAGGACAGGGGGAGGAAGTGCAAAGGGGGCAGGGCAGCATGGCCCCAGGCAACATGTGGGTTCCAGTTAGGCTCAGGCTCATGGACTTCCCTGGGCATGGATGGCCGCAAGTGGACAGTGGCCATACCATTAACCCCCACCTGGGATCGGTGCACACAGAGGCGGGGACAATCCCCAGAGCAGGGCAGGGCCCGTCGGGGAAGGCTCATGGGATGGGCACTGCCTGCAGAGGCCACCAGGCCTAGGAGAGCGGTGGAGCCGAACTGGAATCCACAAGCCTCACCTCCAGGGCCACCCAAGGGCCGCCCAGCTGCCCAGTGAGACCTTCAGCCCTCGGTAGCAGACTTAAACCATTCCCAATCCCAGCTTCTAGTGTCCCGCAGTCTAACAGGGCAGATGGTCACTGCCTGCATGAGTGTGAAAAGGGGTGGCCTGAAGTACAAGTGCAAGGAAAGGCATTGCCGACAGCCCGGAAGGGACTGGGTAAGGCTGCCAGGACAACAGGGAGGGAACCGCCTGGGCAAAGGCATGGAGTTGGGAGGCAGTCTGGGGTGTCTGAGTGGGTTGACAGGGGGTTCTGAGGTACGGCCAAGGCCCCAAGGCTGACACCATAGGTACAGACAATAAAGGTTTGTGGAAGGAATGGGCTGGGGTGTGAATGACTCTAACTGTTACTGGCTCAGGCAGGAGAGCATGACAGAGCCAGGGGACAACAGGGCCAGCTCCCTCCCTGGGACTCCCCCACTGGAGCCCCCACCTCCGTCAGCAGCTGCACCAGAGACCAGTGAGGAAAGCGGCCGCAGAGCTCTCTCAAGCCCGAGAGGAAGGCTTCAGGCTCCAGGGTGGCTGGGTGGAGAAGCAGCGTGTTGGCCTGAGGGAACCCCGCTCTCCTGCCCAGCCCTCACCATGCTCTGCTGTCCCAGAACTGGGGGCCCTGCCCTGCCCACTCACCCCCAGGGCCACTGGAAAGCAGCAGGAAGACTTTGGGGCAGCCCCGCAGGGCCTCACAGCAGCTCAGCTCCTGGACCAGCTGCTGTGGCTGCCTCAGCTGCCCGCTGGGGGCCACCAAGGCCACTAGGGCACAGCCCACAGGGCCCCCATGGGCATCCAGCCACTCCCGGAACCAAACCAGTTCCTCAAGGAAGCCCTAGGAGCAAGAACGAAGGCCTGGGCTGAGAGTCTGGGGAGGCTCCCCATGGGGCTGGGAGCTGGGCTTGGAGGGAGGGAAGGGGAGAGAGGGGAAGGGGAGGGAAGGGAAGGGGAGGAGAGAGAAGAGGAGGGGAGGGCTCACCTGGACTGAAGCCTCCCTCCTCTTGCAGGTGTCAAAGCCCAGGGCCTGGAACACGCCTTCCAGGGCAGCAACTGCAGCAGCAGACACCCCAGGGCTGCTGAGTGTCAGGGCCACCCTTGGACCCTGTACGCTGTACTTCCCCTGGGGAGGCAAGGCCAGGGCTGGGCTGGGCTGGGGCTCAGCTGGGTGTCGGGAGCAGGCTGGGCCAGGTGGGGCCTCCCACTACCTTTCTCCCCAGGCTGTCTTGAGCATCTGCTATCTGCGAAGCCACCTGCAGGGTCCCAGCCACCAGGAAGGCCATGGGGCCAGGTGGGCTTCCTCCAAGCTCCGAGCACCAAGCACTGAGCTCACCTCCTGGCCCCAGCTCCCAGCGCCCTGGATCCTAACCCTTGTCCTATCCCCACGCCCACTCTATCAGCTGTTTATGAACTGAGCTGGACTCTGCCCCTCTCCCCTGGAAGCCTGGGTCCTGGGCCCCACTCCCCAACCCCGTCTCCGTTCCCTGGCTCCACCGGTGACTTCCTGGCTGGCACTGACTAGCCCCCACCTGAGCCAGGAACCAGTGTCCAATCCTATTCTTAGCTCCTGGCCCACGCTCCTATCTGATCTTGTTACACCCCAGTGTCTCCCTTTAGAGCCAGCCACAGCACCAGAAAAGTCCCTGTACTGCTCCCACCTCCTCCTCACGTACCCATACAACAGCACCAAGCCCCCAGAGGTAAAAATCGCCAACTGGAAACAGCCCTGTCCATAGCAAGACCTTGGTGGGGACAGTCCCAGTGACCCCCACATGATGTGTTGAATGGTCGCTGGCTGAGGAAGGGCCTGGGGGTAGAGAGGCAGGCATACACGGACCAGCTACCAAGGGACAGGAACATCTTGTCTCCACCTGTCCCACCTCCCCTCCAGGGGCCCTGCAGGAGGGATCCGCAAGGCTGGAAGGAGACTCAGACTTCAAGGACCGCTGCCCTGTGTTCTGTGCAGGCCCCAGCCTGTGGCCCAGGCAGAGAGTAAGGGCAAGCCTGTGGCTTGTCAGCCCACTCTCCCAAGGGACACAGTGCAAGGCAGCTCTGAGTTCTGGATCCCCAAAGAGCGAGAAGCACACGCGTACCTGACAGCGCCTCCAAACCCCTTCTTCATCCTCATCGCACTGTGGGGGGAGAGGAGTGGCCTGGCAAAGACCCCAGTCCTGCTGGGCTCCCCATTCTCCTGCCATGGCAGGGAGGGTGTCCCCAGAGCAGGCAGGCATTGGGGACACAGGGCAACGAGAGTCCTGGGGCTCACAGCTGCCCCTTGGGGCCCAGCCAACCTGGAAGCCAGGGATGTGGCTCCACCTGGTGACTACACAGCACCACGTGCCACCAGGACTACCAGACCAAGGGGTACAAATTCCAGGAACCCTCCCCCCCACACACACACACACCATCAACCTAAAGAACAGAACACCCTGGAGGGAAGTTTCCACGTTTATTCAAACCCTTCCGCAGCCCTTTTGAGGCCCGCTGGGCTGAGCGCCTTTGAAAGGCCGGTGGTCTGTCCCTGTTAACACACATCTGCAAAAGCTGCAGACGGGAAACACAGAATGCAGTGCTAAGGGCTCAGTGACAAAGTGCCGGTGGAGTGCCAGTGCTCAGCATGAGCAGGCTGTGCCACTGAAGGAGCAGGCGATGCCAGGCGCCCTGTCCTTGCTCTCCAGGGTTGGCCTCCTGTCACTGGAACCACCACCACCCTCACCAGAATGGCAGGGGTGTGGCTCCCAGGGGCTCACACTGGGGCAAGTCTGCTGGGGGCAAAGGCAGGCAGCTTCCGTGTGGCCAGGACAGGGCAGAGTGGTCGTGGCCTAGAAATGGGGGGTAGGGGGTCAGAAAGCCTCTGTGGCTGTGCCTGGACCCAGACTCTCACTCTTACGGTGTGGGCTGAATGTCCCTCTCAAAGCCCAGCAGCCCCCGGGGTGGGGGGGCGTGATCAAAGCCAATCCCCACCCCCACTGGAAGGCACAGGTTGGCAGGACAGAGGGCCTGGGCCACAGCCCCACCTAGGAGGCAGGAAACAAGGAGCCACACAGCAAACATGGCCAAGAGGGCTCCTGAGAAGGGACCCTAGGCCCTCCTGCGGCCTCAGGCTACCCTGCTGTCCCTGGAGGACTGTGCTGGGCTCGGGAAGCCAGGGGGAGACAGAGATTCAGAACAGGAAGGGGAATGACGGGGCGGGGAGGGACACCTCCATTCCCTTTGAGTGCTGGGCAAGCTCTGCGTCTGGGTGCCCTGGGGTCCCTCCCGGAAGTGCACAAAGGAGAATGTGCCGCTGCCAGACCGCACAGGGAACACCCGCCCTCCTGGGCGGCCTCAGGTGCCGCTTGGCCGCTCAGCCCACGGGCTGGGCCATCTTGGCGTGCAGGCTCTGGTGGGCGATGAGGTGGGCGCGCTGCTTGAAGCTCTTGTCGCACTCGCCGCAGCCGAAGGGCCGCTCGCCGGTGTGCACGCGCCGGTGGTCCAGCAGGTAGGAGCGCAGCGAGAAGCTCTTGCCGCAGTCGCTGCAGCCGAAGGGCTTCTCGCCCGTGTGGATGCGCTGGTGGTCGGCCAGGTAGGCGCTGCGGCTGAAGCTCTTGCCGCACTGGGAGCAGGAGAAGGGCTTCTCGCCCGTGTGCACGCCCTGGTGGCGCACCAGGTCCGAGGAGCTGCGGAAGCTCTTGTCGCACTCCGGACACTTGTGCGGCTTCTCGCCCGTGTGCGTGCGCTGGTGCCGCGCCAGGTCCGAGCCCCAGCGGAAGCGCTTCCCGCACTGCCCGCAGCTGTGCGGCTTCTCGGCCGCCAGGTCCCGGAACTGGCGCCGACGCGTGGGCGGCCGCCCCCGGCGCGCGCCCACCGTTCGGCCCAGGGTCGCCCTGGGCCGGTTCTCGCTCTCCCAGGCCTCGGCCTCCTCGCGGCTCCAGGACACAGTCACGTTGCCACCCGCCTGGCCCGGCGGCGCGGTCACCACCTCCTCCAGCCGGGACCTCTCACTGTGGCTTTTGAGCCCCAAACCTGCCAGGGAGAGGAGACACCTCCTTCAATCCCGCTCGGTCCTGGGGCCAGAGCGGAGGGGGGCAAGAAACGCGGCCCAGGGAAAAACTTCCCGGCTTTCGGGTCCAGACAGCCATGCCTCAGTTTCCTCATCTACACAATGGGGATGATGGCTGACACTGCAGAGAAGCGGTTCTGAGAAAGCCTGGAGAACTCCCCCCGGGTCAAGGCGCCTGCTAATCACGAGCCCCACAAGCTGTCGCCTAACCCATTCCCCCCACTACTGCAGGCGGATGCAACTCCCCACAACGAACTCTGAGCCCTGGCTCTTCAAACTCCAACATGAAATAGATTCAGGTGATTTTGCAAATTGTCCCAACTCTCAGTGTGGGAAGCTGAGGAACCAGGTGGCTCCTGTGGTTCCCCTCACCACACAGGCTCTAGCTCTCCAAACTCCAGGGCACAAAACCCATTTGGATAGGGCGGCAAGGGGGGAGCCCCTCACAGACCAGTAAGGATGGGGTGGGAAGGAAGACTAGGATTCCAGCAAGATTTGGCGATTTGGAGGGGTGGCCTGTCTAGACCCCCAGGGCCCTGAGCGCTTACCCTGGGCAGTGTTCCGAGAGTTCTCCCGCTTTATGTCCCAGAAGAGATCCCTCTGAGCAGGATCTAGGGTGCCCCATTCTTCCCGGGAGAAATAGAATGGGATGTCTCCCAATGCCACAGGTCCCTAGAGGGGGCAAGAAAACCAGGCTCAGGGTTCCCTTGTTCAGGCCTCCCAGCAGCCGTGGGCAGGGACAGGATGGGTTGGATGCAAAGGCCTTGACAGGAAGGCCAGTCTCAAAAAGGACAAAGGGACTGGCAACTCACGTGGACCCCAGAGGCAAAGCAGGTATCCGTCGTCTCTCTGGCGTGACCCTCTTTATGAAGAGTAGGCAGCTGGGCTGAAGGAAAACAAAGGAGCCTCAAAAAGGCCAGCCCAGCACTCTAGCCCAGGCAACAGAGTGAGACTCTGTCTCAAAAAAAAAAAAAAAAAAAAAAAAAGGCCAACCCAGGCCTGAGACTCAGACCATGCGGTATCCCGGCACAAGCACATGGGCACACATTCTTGGGCTTCACGGGCTGGAAAGACCCCACCTGCTACCCTTAGGGCAACGCCAGTGAAGGTGCCAGGCCCCTGCCCAGCCACTCTACTGCCTACAGGGACAGAGGCTTACTCACCACCAAGGCTGTGCTGCTCCTGGGGTACAGGTGGCCGGCTCCGTGTCCCCGCAACAGATTGCTGAACTGCAGCCTCAGGTTCCACCTTCTCTGAGGGCACATCCTGTGCAGGAACCACAATATGCTCATCAGCACCGAGACCAGACCCGGGGAGACAGAGTTTAATCCCTGGGAAGGAGACATAGGACACGACCCTCAGGATGTTGGGGTGTGGGGAAGGAGATCAGCATGGAGCCCAGGAAAGCCCAGAGAATGTGACACCAGGTGGTGCTGTGTGCTCAAGGACACTCACTGATCAATCACGATGCAAAAACCAGCTGCCAAAGACCAAAGTCATGGCCACTCAGCAAGGGCAGAACCCCACACCCTGGACACTCATTAGCACCACCCCAGATGCTTCCAGTGTCAAGGACCCAACACCCCACAAGACAGTAGGTGCCCATGGACAGCTCCACCTTCTTACCCCCCTATGGTGCTCTACCTGTCCATATCGCTGTGTCCCCAGGGCCTGGCCTAGAGCAGAACATGAATAAACATCTGTAGAACCCAGATGAATTAAAACCTCCTTTCTGGACCATTCCCACTTTGGTCCTACTGCTGCCCTCCAAAACCACCAAAAAGAAACACTTTGCTCAGCGTCTTTCCAAAAGGTAACCTATATACACACTCCCTCAGGCTTTGTCTTCCCGTGAGCCCCTGGAAACCCATCTCTAAGGAGATGGCCACCTCTCTTCAGCCCAGGGACCATCCAGGTGCCCCTCGGTGCAGGGGGCCTCTCACCTGCGGCCAGGATTTCGCTGGCTGCTTCTGTAGGTCCTCCACCAAGGCTACAGCTTCCTCGCCACTCCTTGGGTGCTGCTCTCGCACCCAGCCCTGTATATCCCCGGGCAGCACCGTCAGGAACTGCTCCAGCACCAGCAGCTCTAGGATCTGCTCCTTGGTGTGCAGCTCCGGCCGCAGCCAGCGCCAGCAGAGCTCCCAGAGCTGGCTGAAAGCCTCATGAGGCCCATGCACATCCCCGTAGCAGAACTGCCGAAAGCGCTGGCGGCAGGCCTCGGAATCCCTGCTGTCATCTTGCTGGGCAGATTCCTGCTCCCAGGAGGAATCCTCCACCTTCACGATCAGAAGCCCTTCTCCCTCCCCAGGGGTCTGGTCCTGGGGCTCCAGGGGGGCTGCCATTCCCCTGGCCCAAGGCTCAGGGTTGGTGGGCCTCAACCTGGGCCCCAGAGCTTGTCCTTTCAGTCTCCCAGAGGGATCCCCTCTGGCGGCTGGGCTGGCATTTGGATGTGCACTCCTGGAGAAAGAACAAAATTGTAGGATTGGGGGGTGGGGTGGAATACATGACCAAACACCAGCCTGAAGTGCCACCTGCGGACTGCAATACTCATCCTTTTGTAGCCCTCAAACCTTTCTTTTTTTTGAGACAGAGTCTCACTCTGTTGCCCAGGCTAAAGTGAGTGCCGTGGCGTCAGCCTAGCTCACAGAAACCTCAAACTCCTGGGCTCAAGCGATCCTTCTGCCTCAGTCTCCCGAGTAGCTGGGACTACAGGCATGTGCCACCATGCCCAGCTAACTTTTTTCTATATATTTTTAGTTGTCCAGCTAATTTCCTTCTACTTTTTTTTTAGTAGAGACGGGGTCTCTCTCTTGTTCAGGCTGGTATCGAACTCCTGAGCTCAAATGATCCGCCCGCCTAGGCCTCCCAGAGTGCGAGGATTACAGGCATGAGCCACCGTGCCTGGCCCTTTTTTAGGCTTTTATGTGCACTGTAGTCTCTTTCTCAAATGTGAAAACTTCTGAATTCCAAAACACATCTGGTCTTGGTGTGGGGGAGGTAGGATGTCAGAGAAGGGCTCACAGACATCATCCAAAGCCATTTATGCACAGATATATGTGAATGTATGACACACATTTATAATTTACAATGTTACTCTTCCAGTGGTTCTGAAAAGTGTACTTTGGAATTTGGGGTTTTGTTTGTTTGTTTCAATAATAAAAGTAATACAAACCATTATAACAAAAAAGAGAGGGGACATTTAAACAATAGAAATGTATAAAAGAGAAACTCCCTTCCTCAACGCAGTTACACCCCCTCAATTAACATTCTGACATATGAAGTCCCAGACATGGGGGGAGACCCTGCCAAGGCCACATGTGGCCCTCCAAATCCCCAAATGCAGCCCCTCTACCAAATCCAAACTTCACAGATCAAATCCCTTAAAAAGATTTATTCAGTAAAATTTGCATTCAGTCAAAAGGCCGCATTCAAGGATCCAGAAGACCACAAGTGGCCCCAAAGGCCATGCTTTTACTTACAATGTTATTCATAGAAACAAAGAAAAAAATGTGCTTGATATGTTTTTACATAAATGAGATCTTACTATTGTGTCATTTGCTTTTGCCACCTAGCAGTGGTTCATTAGAGGCACCATGAGCTTCCCGGTACCTATGCGCTGCAGTTTCCGAACGAACGAATACCCGAGTGATGCATGCAAGTTTCCAGTTCTCTATTACACACTAAGCACTTTATTTATTCTGCTGCTCAGACCCCTGGAAGATAGGCACGCCATTCTCATCCTCCAGTGACCGAGAAAGAGTTTCCTTGGAGAGGACCAGGACTCACCAGGGTCGCTCGGCAGGACGCGGCAGGCGGGAACGCTGACCCGGCCGGAGCCCCGCGCTGTCCCCAGCAGCCTCGCCTGCGCGGGGCTGAGGGAGCGGCGTCACGCAGAGGTGTCTGCCCAGGGATCTAGCCGGCAAAGGGGTGCTGGGGGGACCCGGCACTACCAAGAGGTGCGCGCCCCCTCCGGCCTCCACCTCAGGGCGCCGGCCCCCGCCACCTGAGCCCGGCACTAAACAGCTTAGCCGGTCCCCGCCCCCTCCCACGGCTGCCCAGGCGTTCCCAGTTCCGCCGCCAGGTTCTGGTGCCGGAAGTCCGCGCGCAGCTCGCCGGGGAACTACGCCGCGCATGCGTCCCGGCAAGTATTTGGAACTACACTCCCCACAAAGCCATTCGTCAATTGAGGCTGGCCAATGAACGTGAAGACTTCTCAGGCTGCCCAATCAGACGGCAGCTACGCCAAATGCTCCGTGCTCAAACTCCCAGGTGAAGCTCGGGGCTCTGAGACTTGATTCTCTGTGCATTCCTCCGTCTCTGCTTTTTTTTCACTTTTTTCTGTGCCTCTGGCTCCTAAGCGGCAAGATGGGGAAGCCAAGGCTAGCCTGACGAGCGGAGACGGCGCCTGGCCCCGTCACGAGTGGGACGCTCGCTCCGCCGGAAGGGATGTGTCGCGTGGACCGTTGCTTCCGCCCCATTCTCTTTCCGCTCCAGCCAGTGGGTCAAGGGCCAGGAGGCCACCGGGCGGGAGCTGGAGCTCGGGCCGGGGAGACTAGTTTCCAGCCTCATGGGCCCGCTTCTCCGTGGAGCTTCTTGCGAAATGCAGTGCAGTGAGGGCGCGGAGCCAGCCGCGGCGACACTCCCTCCCTGTGTCGCTCAGCAGGTCGCGGCTGTTGGGACGCTGAACTAGGTGGAGTCCCGCGGTCTTCTCTCTGCAGCTTCGTCTGCGCAGTGCTGAGGAGCGACGGGGTCTTGGGGCCCGGAGGGATCCAGAGCAAGCCATGTCCAGGAATCTCCCTTCTATACACAGTAAGACCCACTCCCACCTTCTCCACGCCTTGACCTGAACAAGGTCTCAGGCTCCAGGTCCTTTTCCGAAAGGGAAAGAGCTAGCTTGTTTTGCTTTGATTATGCACGTCTTAAATGCTTGGAAGAGAAAATTAAGAGATTGACAAATTATGAAGGTATCTCTTTTTCCTGCTATCCACAAGGCTAGCGCCTTTACTCTCTGCTCAAATGCCACCCCCTCAAAGAGGCCTTCCCTAACCCTCTTCCTTATTTTTCTTCCTAACATTTATCACTATCTGGTATTCAATATTTGTGTAATATTAATATTTGTCTCCCATTACTCGATGATAATTAGTTCCCTGAGGGAAGACACCTTTTACTGCCCTACCCCCAGCACCTAGAATTGTGTCTGGCACATGGTAGGTGCTCAGTAAATATTTGAATGAATGAAGGTGAAACACATTCTTTTAGCCCAGCATGGTGGCGCCAGCCTGTAGTCCCAGCTACTCCGAAGGCTGAAGCAGGAGGATCACTTGAGCCCAGGAGTTTGAGCTTGCAGTGAGCTATGGTAACACCACTGCATTCTACCCTGGCAACAGAGTGAGACTCTGTCTTAAAAACAAAAAAAAATTTCTCATACAACCATCTAGAAATAAGCACAATAGTCTGTTTTTGTTTTGTTTTGTTTTGTTTTTTGTTTGAGACAGAGTCTTGCTTTGTTGCCCTGGCTAAAGTGAGTGCCGTGGCATCAGCCTAGCTCACAGCAACCTCAAACTCCTGGGCTCAAGCAATGCTGCTGCCTCAGCCTCCCGAGTAGCTGGGACTACAGGCATGTGCCACCATGCCTGGCTAATTTTTTCTATATATATTAGTTGGCCAATTAATTTTTTTCTATTTATAGTAGAGACAGGGTCTTGCTCTTGCTCAAGCTGGTTTCAAACTCCTGACCTCAAGCAATCCTCCTGCCTCGGCCTCCCAGAGTGCTAGGATTACAGGCGTGAGCCACCGTGCCCGGCCACAATAGTCTGTTTTTACAGTTCTATGTCTATGAATATATTTAGAATATGAATCAATAATCACTCTATAATTAATGTTCTGTTGACTCAGTAGTAAATCAGGGCTGTCTTTCCATCTATGTATAAATAAAATTCATCAGTTTTGTAAGTTGCATATTATTTTCATAGAATGAAAGTTCCCTTTTTTTTTTTTGAGACAGAGTCTTGCTTTGTTGCCCAGGTTAGATAGAGTGAGTGTCGTGGTGTCAGCCTAGCTCACAGCAGCCTCAAACTCCTGGGCTCAAGCAATCCTCCTGCCTCAGCCTCCCGAGTTGCTGGGACTATAGGCATGCGCCATGCCTGGCTAAGTTTTTCTATATATATTAGTTGCCAATTAATTTCTTTCTATTTATAGTAGAGACAGGGTCTTGCTCTTGCTCAGGCTGGTTTCGAACTCCTGACCTCGAGCAGTCCGCCTGCCTCGGCCTCCCAGAGTGCTAGGATTACAGGCGTGAGCTACTGCGCCCGGCCAAAGTTTCCATATTTTATTTAAAGTCCCCTACCCTTGGACATTTAGATTGTTTCTATTTTTCTGTACTTGTAGATAGGCTTCTACATACACTTTTGTGCATTTGCTTGAACATTTCCTTGAGAAAAACTAGAAATGGAATTGCCATATGTACTTTGTGTATATATTTCCAAACTATCCTCCAGAAAAAATGTAACACTTTGCACTTCCATTTGAGAATCAAATGTTTGCCTTCCTCTATTCCCCAAATTTTCCACATTTACAGCATCCAGTGGTTGTTGAAGTCAGCCCAGTTTTGTTGGGAAACAGCTTGATGTACCTTCCCCATATGTTTCACAGTAATGGATATTAAACGTCAAAATCATAATGGTACCATTTGTAGAGTGTTTACATGTCAGGCACTGAGCTAAGTGCATTTCTCATTCTACGATTTCTAGGGAAGCTTAATGTGCTTTCTATTTTTCAGTTATTATTGGCTATTTCTATTTGTCCTTTTGTGAATTACCTATTGTTATTTCCTGGTTTTTCTATTGGTATATTCTTAAGGTATTAGATTTTATATATCAAGGATATATGTGCATAGCCTGATATTCAGTAAGTACTGTATTTGGTTTTTTCCCTCTCTTCTATTTCTCTTTTCAAGAATAAGTCAATAAGTTTGTTGAATAACTTGATTTACCCTTTAAAATATGGTACAAATATTTTCTCATGTTTAATTTGTCTTTTGATACCAATCATGTGTTTGGATATTGGTTTTTATTCCAATACAGAAATGTTTTTTGTTTGTTTGTTGTTGAGACAGGAGCTCACTCTGTTTCCTGGGCTAAAAGTGCAGTGGTGTCATCATAGCTCGCTGCATCTTCAAACTCCCGGGCTTAAGGGATCCTCCTGCTTCAGCCTTTTGAGTAGCTGGGACTCCAAGTGCATACCACTGTACCTGGCTGATTTTTTTTTTATTTTTGTAGAAATGGGTGTGTCTCTCTATGTTGCCCAGGCTAATCTCAAACTCCTGGCTTCAAGCAGTCCTCCTGCTTGGGCCTCTGAAAGTCTAGGATTACAGGCATGAGCCACCAAGCCAGGATCCAATACAGAAGTTTTAAATATTAAGTAAAGCTCTCCTTCTTATATGGTTTCTTCCATTGAAGTCAGGCTAAGAATGGCTTTGAGAGCTACCTGGCTTTCAACTTTTTTAATTTAAATATTACCCCATTTGGAATTTATTTTGATGAAATGAAAGAAGTATAAAATGAATTTGTCCCCCAGTTGGAGCCAGATTAAGCAGTTTCACAACTGTCATTCCATCCTTTCTTGGCTGCTCTTTCATATTTCATATCTAAATTCTATTATACAGTAGGGTGACTATAGTTAACAATAATGTATATTTCAAAATAGCTGGAAGAGAGAATTTTTTGAGTGTTCACAACACAAATGATAAATGTTCAAGGTGATGGATATGCTAGTTACCCTGATTTAATCATTACACAATTTATGCATCTATTACACATCACATTGTACCTTATACTATGTACAAATACTATGTGAATCAAGAATAAAACTTAAAAAATGAATTCTAAATAAATAAATACTATCATAGATGAGTTTTTCTCAATTTCCAGGTATATTTCATTGGTTTCTGTGTTCCATTAGTTTTATAATATGTTTTGATATTCTCGACTAGCATATTTTTCCTCATTAATTGCAAAATAATTTTATCAAATTCCAAAACATATGCCATTGACATTTTTATTGAAATTTTTGTTAATATATAGGTTAATATTGGAAAGAATTGACATTTTTACAATACGTTTTGCAAAAATATGTAATTTAACTCCTGTATACCTCAGTAAAATTCTGTAGTTTTTTCTTTTCTTTTAATGTAGGTTCTGCATCTTTCCAGTTTGTTCCAAGGCAGTTGTAATTTGTGGTTGCGAATATTTCCCTGTAGTATCATTCGCTCTGATCAGGAGATAAAAATCATAGCAATAATTTGAACAGAAAATTTGATATAAAGAATTGTTAAGTTGTCCAAGATGGTTAACTACTAACTCGAGTAAAAAAGGTCTTTCAAAGTTACAGAAATAGCAACCACAGAAAGCAACTCATGTGTTTTTGAGGGATAAACTTAGAAGCTCAAAGGGGCTCCTCCCCTTTCAGTGCCAGGCAGAGATTGAGACCTTTTGGAAAAGGGAGTGGCTGCCATGACAGGACTGGCTGATAGAGAAAACTCCAGAGGCAGTGGGAGCTGCGGAAGTGGCGGCCACCAGGCTCCCTCCCCTTGCCTCTACCTTGCCCAGTGGAACACCAGGGAAGAAGAAAGGCCTTTTCTCAGCTGTGACCCGACATCGCTCTCTACTGGCAAAGGCTAGCATCACGTTGGCTTGCAAAGATGTGTCCACAGGACCTAGAGGAGATCACTCTTTGGATCTTAGCCAAAAGGCCGGGACTGTGATCCAGCTCATCATCACAAAGCAGGATGAAAAGGGTGTATTTCAGGCTGGGGGACAATAGATTAATAACTGCCACACTTACCATATTTTCTACTAGGCATTCTAGGATAGGTAAATTATTTGTATACAATTTTGTTAAAATCGACCACCATATTGAAATTACACTTATTCCCTCTGGTGGTTTTTTAGTTTATTTTTTTGTAGTTAGTATATATAATCTATAAACAATGAAAAAAGTAAAATTTTTTTCTCCAGGATTTATACTCATTCTTTTCTTAGTCTTATAGCATTGTACAGAACTCTCAAAACAGTATTAAAAACTGAGGACAAGATGGGTGCGGTGGCTCACGCCTGTAATCCTAGCTCTCTGGGAGGCAGAGGTGGGCGGATTGCTCGAGGTCAGGAGTTCGAAACCAGCCTGAGCAAAGAGCAAGACCCCGTCTACTATAAATAGAAAGAAATTAATTGGCCAACTAATATATATATATATATATAAAAAAAAATTAGCTGGGCATGGTGGCGCATGCCTGTAGTCCCAGCTACTCGGGAGGCTGAGGCAGCAGGATCGCTTGAGCCAGGAGTTTGAGGTTGCTTGAGCTAGGCTGACTCCATGGCACTCACTCTAGCCTAGGCAACAAAGCGAGACTCTGTCTCAAAAAAAAAATGAGGACAGCAGACATCACTGTCCGGGATCTTAAGTTAATGAAAATGTTTTTAATGATTTGCCATTAAGCTGGGCGCAGTGGCTCACGCCTGCAATCCTAGCACTCTAGGAATCCAAGGCGGGCAGATCGCTCAAGGTCAGGAGTTCGAAACCAGCCTGAGCAAGAGCGAGACCCCATCTCTACTAAAAATAGAAAGAAATTAATTGGCCAACTAAAAAATATATAGAAAAAATTAGCCAGACATGGTGCCACATGCCTATAGTCCCAGCTACTTGGGAGGCTGAGGCAGAGGATCACTCGAGCCCAGGAATTTGAGGTCACTGTGAGCTAGGCTGAAGCCATGGCACTCTAGCCTGAGCAACAGAGTGAGACTCTGTCTCAAAAA